GCAGGAAACAGTGCTGGCACTGGAAACAGAGCTTGGAGACATCCAGGCTGCTCTGAGGGAGCAAGAGATGCAGCTGGAAACCCAAAAACACAAGGAGATGGAGCTTCTTTCCACTGTGCGCAGGTAAGAGTGAGGAGGATTAGAATAAGCTTCATCTTGGCACTGCAGTAATTGCTGCACAAGGACAGTGATGCTTCAGCACAGCCACTGTCCCACCTGTCAGAAGCAGGTCACTGTGGATTTGTGATGATTTTTGAGTGCTGGCCAAAACACCGTGTTCAGATCCTGCCTTCCAGCAGTGGAGAGTGGGAGCAGAACCACGTGGCTGAAAAAGGAGGCCCCTGTTTTGTCAGCTGGGTTGGTTTGTGTCCTCAGCTGGGTTTGTTGTTGCTCTCATCTGTAGCTCCTTGCAAAATGGACCTACTCGTGTGTCTGCAAATGGGCCAATGTCACAGGTGGGGCTGTGTCCAGGGGCAAGGACTCCTTCCAGCACAGCCCTGGCAGTTTGTGAGCTGGGATGCAAATAGTTCAACACTGACATCTGATATGAAAATAATTTCCCTCCTTGAAGTGAGGGAATCACCTTAAACAAAGCTGTTTTTTTCCCCATGGTGTTTTGCTAACTTCAGCTTGCAGGATAAGCTGCAGCAGTGTGTAAAGAATGCAGAGAGAGGACCCACTGCCCAGGATGGGGAGAGAAAGAAAATGGAACATGACTCTCTGAAGAAAGAATGTGACTGCCTCAAGAAGGTAAGGGGCTGCCCCAGTCAGGAATCACACATTTTTCCTTCCACTGAGTCACACCAGGCACTCAAATGAAATCAGGGACTTCTGCAGTCACAACTACACTGAAGCAGCAGTTCCTGGAATTCAGCCTGTGGGGTTCTAAAAGCTGTTGTTGGTGTGAAAACCACACAGTCCTACAGCAACGCTGGGGAGAAGTTGCAGAATGCAGAAGAGGGGAGAGGAAAACCACAAGAATATAACGTCTCTGGTCTGTTTGTAGCTGATAGATCTAATGGTGCCTTTTATCAGGGAATCTAAGTCCACTCCTAACAGCAGCAGTGATTAAAGCAGTAAATGGACAGGAAAGAGAGAGGGGGTGCTGTCCTGCTGAAGGAGAAATCCTGGTGGTACTCCTGGCTCTGTGTGGCCAGTTCTGATACCTCTGCTTTTGATTCCAGATCGTGGACAAAAAGCAGAAGAAGATGGAGCAGTTATCCTTGCAAGTAAAGGTGAGAGGTGACTGGGGAGGGACCTAGAACTGGAGAATCTGCTGTGAAATGAGTTAGACTTACTGTGTTCCCATGGTCTCTTCCAGAACCTGGAAGAACAGGTGGCTCAGGAAGAGGGGACAAGCCAAGCTCTGAAAGAGGAGGCGATGAGAAGGGAAAACGCACTGCAGCAGCTCCGGGCTGCTGTGAAAGAGGTCAGGGAGTGCTTGGAGTGCCTGAACAAGGCACTGAATGAACAGAGGATTGTCTTCCAGCCAGGCCCTGAATTTGGAGTCAGCAGCACAACATCTGCTTCCTGCTGGTCCATTGTCCTGTCAGGACTCTGAAAGGAGCTCTCCTCTGCTCAAATGCAGGAGGAAAAAGGCAGTTTCTGCCTCGGGAACTTGAGCTGGGTCTCTGGATGTGGTGGAGGAGGCCGAGCTTGCCACCTGGGGGCAGCAGGGCTGCGAACTGGGCTGCTCTCAAGCCTTAAGGAAGCCAAGCACAACGGCAGCCCTGGAGGGAAGGGATGGCCAGTGTTGGGGTGCACAACCTCCCGGAAGCTTATTTTGCTGCATCATGGCTCAGCAGGGACGGTGCAGTGTCCCAGGGTGCTTCCTGTCTGAGCCAGGAGAGCCAAATTCTCACCCCATGTGGGACTGACGCTCATCTGGTGACAGTCTGGAGGGCTGGATGTAAACCAGTTCCTGCCCTCAGTGCTCCCATCATGGAGCAGCTGCGTTAAGATGCTTTGAGTGTGGTAGTTCTGTCCCAAGTGCCCACTAACCTGCCGTGTCCGTGTGTCCAGCTCTCTGTGCAGAACCAGGATCTGATCGAGAAGAACCTGACGCTCCAGGAGCGGCTCCGCCAGGCCGAGCTGACAGCCCAGCCCCTGCCCACTGACACAGCCCGCCTCACCCAGGAGCTGCATGGGGAGCTGGCCATCTGTCTGCAGGATTTACAGTCTGTCTACAGCATTGTCACTCAGAGGGCTCAGGGCAAGGACCCCAACCTCTCCCTGCTCCTGGGCATTCACTGTAAGTAGAGAGTGATGGCAGAGCAAACCCCGTTCCCGTGCTGTGGCACAGTTAAATAACTCAGATATAGCATGGAATTGTCTTTCTGGGCTTTCTGAACCCTCCCTCTGTGGTTAGCTCACTCTGAAGGTGCATGCTGTTATAACTGAATGTTAAGTAGAACCTCCTTTGCAAATGTGCATTGGTTTTTCTGGCTGACTTGCAAATGTGTGTGATCCTTGGTCAGAATTGCATGTGAGGAAACTCCCTTCTCTGACTCCACAGCTGTGCAACACCCTGTGAAGGAGAAGGAAGACTTGCTGAGCCCTGATGGACTTGCAAAGAAAGTGGTGGAGGTAAAGCAGCTTCACAAAGAGGTGGAGGAGTTAAGGACTGCGATATCTGACAGATATGCTCAGGATATGGGAGACAACTGCATCACCCAGTAAAGAGCACTCCCCAAAGTAAGACAGGACATGAAGACTTGAAACCCTCAGGAGCCTTGAGCTCCTACAACCCTAAACCTATTCAGCACTTTACCATCCCTCTGCTCGGGTACCAGAGATGTGACTTATCTGATCTGTGAGGGATCAGGGGGTTTGTTGCCAGAAGTGTTCAGCTGCTGACTGGAATCATTCAGGGCTTTGGTGTCGGGCTTTGCAGTAGCTTTGATCTTGTGGAATGTGTTTTATGCTGTGTTTGCTGGAGCTGGTGTGGTCTCTGACGCTGGGAGATTGAATTCTGACTTGCCTCCCAGGCATGTCAAATGCTGAACATGCAAATGTGACAGTTAAAATCATCACTAAAAGGAAATGTATGCCCTGGTATTTCTGATAACTTCCCTGTGCAGGTCCTGTGTGACTTGTGAGACCAGAGGATTCTTGGAGTGTTCAGAGGATACCTGGATTTTGTAGGCAGGCAGGTGTGCCAGGTATACTGCTGGTATTTACACTGAGGTGCTACTGGCTTGGATTTATGGAGCAGGACCTGCTTTCCTCAGGTAAATGCAACCAGAGTCTTTCAGTAGCCAGCATGAGTTGGAAATTAAAGCAACACTAAAAGACTCTGGAAACGCTCCCCCTGGGCACTGTTACCCCATTAGCCTTAAGCCTTTTGTCCCCCCCAAAATAGCACTGGGAGCTGAGTGTGATTCAGACTGTAGAGGAAATGGATTGATGCTGAAGTGCCTTAATGTGCTGGAGAAACCCTCTGCCCTCACTGTGCTTTGTGCCTAATGCATCTGCTGGCAGGTGAGGAGCTGCTGCTCCTTCTCACAGCCTTTTAGAGCCATCCCAAACAATCCTGGGGAGCCCTGAATGTCTGTGGCCCCTGCCAGAGCTTCCAAGAGCCTCTGTGCCCCTGGGGACACACCTCTGGCTTGGCTCTCTGCTGCTTGACTGGGAGAAAGCCATACTGGTCCTAATGTGGGGGGATGACACAGAGAGCTCTTCCTGCAAGGCAGTGGCCACTCGAGCTTTGTTGTAGCCCTGCTCCTCTGCAAGTAATGGGATTCCTACATAAATCAGTGAGGGATAAGTTTCACTGCACCACAACCCCCCTAAACCATAGTGACAACTTTACAGTACCGAGCCCTGGCTTGTGACAGTGCTGTGGTGCTGAGGGTGGAACTTTGTTCGTTTTCAGCTTGAGTTAAGAGCAAGGTACTAAGCTGTAACAGGGAAAAATCCTCCTGAAACTTGTGCTGTTGGGTTGTTCTTGGTTCACATTGGGGCTGCGAGCCCTGGGTGTGGCAGAAATGCTTTTTTGTTATTCCTTTGTGTTAAATTTTAAGACCAAATCTGTTTTGTTTTTAGTGTTTGGCCACCACGGGTGATGGTGGCAATGAAATTGGTTGGTTTGTCCTGAGCTGCTCTCCCTGTGTCTGGTGTGTTAGGTGTCTGGCTGTGTCTGTCCCCAGGCTGCTGGTGCCATGTACTGAGGGAGCACATTTCCAAGGCTATTCCTTGAAGCCATTTGTCCTGTCTGCCGGGAGCTTTGCTGTCTCCTGCAGGTTCTCAGGGTGCTGTTGAGCACCATCCCCTTTGCTTTGGGGTGCAAGATCCAGTTCCCAGGTGCTGTGTGAGGACATGTTTGCTCAGCAAACATTTGCTCAGCTCTGCCCCTGCAGAGCTGGTTGTGAGATGAGATTGTGGCTGAAACCACCTCGGCTGATGCTTTTGGAGCATCACCGTTGGCCATGTGCCTGCAGTTGGGCTGCCCTGGTCGTGTGTTCCCCTCCATGGGGATGTGTCCCCTCATCATCCTCCTCCTGCACAGCTGAGCTCATTTGGCTAAGAGGGTGATCCCAAGTGCCCTTTGCTGCTGGTGCACAGGAAATCTTGGACCCTTCACTACTGAACACCCCAGGCCAGGGGGGGCAGGATGGCGTTCCCTCCCTGTCCCACCTTCCTGCCCCATCCCCTTGTCCCGCGCGTGTCCCCCCCTCCAGTTCCCCACTGCCCGGTCCCGTTGGGCTCAGTGTGTTTGTACCAGCCTGTGTCTTGTTGCTTGTTTGTACCGAATATTTTGATTATAAAATAAAGCTGCTCTCACCCACCCGTGCGAGGCTGTGCAGCGTGGGGAAAGGGGAGCTCACCGGGGCCGGTACCCGATGCCTGGTAGGGGCGGTGGCTCCCCAGGGCCAGTGCCCGGGCCGGTACCCGGTAGGGGCGGTGGCGGTGAGTTCTCATTCCCGGTTCCCGGTGCCGGTGGGGGCGGTGGCGGTGAGTTCTCATTCCCGTTCCCGGTGCCGGTGGGGGCGGTGGCGGTGAGTTCTCATTCCCGTTCCCGGTTCCCGGTGCCGGTGTGGGCGGTGGCTCCCCGCCGGCCCCGCAGAGCCCGCATGCCCGTGCCCGCCGGCCCCATTGGCCCCCGCAGTCACATGCCGGGCGGTGGCGGGGCCGCCCGCTCCGCCTTCCCTCGGTCCCTCCCGCCCAGCCGAGCCCAGCCGAGCCTCCCTCCGCCGGGCTGAGCGCAGGGAGCGGCCGCGATCGCACCATGAGCACCCTCAAGGTCTACAGCACCTCGGTGACCGGCTCCCGGGAGGTGAGCGGCGGCGGGGCCCCCGGGCTGCCGCGGGCAGGGGTGGGTGCAGCGGGGCCCCTCTTCCCGGGGGTGGGCGTCTCTTCCGTGGAGCTGTGAAGCGTGTCCCCCCCCCGGCCCTATCCCAGGGGTCCCCTCCCTTGCTCTCGCCGCAGCGGCCCCTTCATCCCCCAAACCCATCCCTCCCTGCTGGACGTCCCCCCCGTGGCCAGGTGGGGTCTGCACCGTGAGCGCTGTGCTGAGCGTGGCTGGCGCGCTGGGGTGTGCGCCCACCCTCCGGGCCCTTTTCCACCTCCCCTTAACCTGCCTTTCCCACCCGGGCTCCAGATCAAATCCCAACAGAGCGAAGTAACCAGAATCCTCGATGGGAAAAACATCAAGTACGAGCTGGTGGATATCTCCCAGGACAACGCTCTCCGAGAGGAGATGAGGGCAAAGGCAGGCAACCCCAAAGCCATCCCACCCCAGATCGTCAACGGAGACCAGTACTGTGGGGTGAGGCTCCCGCTGCGTGCTGGGGATCAGCACCCTGAGGTTGGGTGGTGGGTGACAGTCCTGTCCCCTTGGTTTTGCTACAAAGGGTGTCAAGACACCCTGGCAGTTATTTCTCGTGAGGTGCACAGAGAAGGTGCTGTCAGGATTCACGGCCATTTGGAGTGCCATGCCTTGGGGGAAAAAGGGGACGCGGGCAGGGGTCTTTGGGTGACCGTGGGCTGTGCTGTGTGGCGCTGTCCCTGCTTTGCTCTGTCATCCTTGGCACAACCAACTGGTCCCTGTGCTGTGAACCAGTTTGTGCCACGTTCTCAGGGGACCCTCTTGCCTTGAGAGCAACCGTGTGACTTTTCCCTGCAGGATTACGAGCTCTTTGTGGAAGCAGTGGAGCAAAACACTCTGCAGGAGTTCCTGAAGCTGGCCTGAGCCCCGGCTCCTCTCCCTTCCTGGACTCTACCTGCATTCCTGAGCACCCTCATCTCCGACCACCTTCACTTCCAGGTTGTCAGCGCTGTCCTGGCACCGCGACCTGTATTCCCGGCACTGGGAAACAAACCCATGACCAAAACTCATTGCAGCTGCCTCCGATTCCCTCCTGCCTAACCCCGACATCATCTCAGAGGGATCCAAAGAAAGTCTGACGCTCGCTGCGCATGGCCTGTGAGCAGAGCCGGGCCTGGCTCACCGCAGCTTCCAGTGCCTCTGTAAACAGCAAAGCCTCTGGGGCGTGTGAAGTGCAGGGCGGCCATCAGCCCCCTCCTCTGCCTCGGGAGGGAAGGGCTTAGGGCTGCATGTTACTTCCCACTTCTCCTCATTGCTGTTAAAATTGTAAATTCCGCTGCCTCACTTCCTTTTTTTTTTTTCTTTCCCTTTTTTCCCCTGTTTTCATCTCGACTGTAGACATTATGGCAACTAAGTAAATTTTTTTTGTTTGTCTTAATTTAATGCAAAAATACTGCACAGAGTTGGGGTCTGACCACCCACCGTGGAGGAGCTGGGGGCGAAGGCTGGGATCTGTGGCATCTGTGCTGCCTGGGGGGATGGATGGGGCTGGAAGGGAGATCTGTGCTGTTCTGGCCACCCTCCACCATGACCAGGGCTCCCTCGTGAGCATTAATGGCTCAGGGCTGCCCCAGACCAGCTGATGCTCCAGCTGTCTGCTCTTTGCTCTTTGAGTTGGCTTTTTTGCAATCCTGGACCAAGTGCATTTTGTTTTCCTGCCAAAAAGCAAGTTTATAACCAGTGTTGTCTTCCGAGATGCTATTAAATGTTACTGTACCTTTCACGTTGGTGCTCCTGCGTTCCTTTTAAATCTGGTTTTATTTTGGCTACAGGTTAAACATCACCCTACGTAATGATTCTGAGTCATTTCCAGCTCTGGGGAGCCAAGTCGGTTGTACTCGCTGCTGCAGCCTGACACAAAGATCTTAACACCTTAGATTGCTGCTGCTAATCAAAGGCTCACAGGACTTGTCTGAATGTCCCACGGCGTGGTAGTGACAGGTTCCTCACTCGAACATTCCTCTCCTCTGCGTGGTGAGAGCAACAGCCCGAGGCAGGGACAGCTTCAGCCAGACACGTGAGCAAAAAACAACCCCCTGGCACAAAGATTACCTGGCTGGTTATAGACCAGCAGACAGAGAAGCAGAGGAAAAGGCTGCCCCTGGATCTACTACAGGTGGAAAAAGGAGGAAGCTGAGTGAGAGCTGTGTGGGTTGAGTCACTGGTCACGGGAAGCTGGTGGAAGCAGCTGGTTTGCTTCCTGCATTTGAGCTGTGCAGGGTCCAGGTCCAGCACAGGGGTCTGGGAAGAGCTCCGGGCACTCTGAGCTTCCGCAGTAACTGTGCCTTTGGAATCTAAAGGAAGTGGAAGCTGCAACAGGAATAAAGGGTTTCATTGGGAGCCTTTAATGAGGGCTGGGTCTGCTGAGAGGGAACCTGCCAGAAGGCGCTGCCTCAAATGAGTGGGAGTGTTGTCAGCTGGGAGTCAAGTGGGAGCTTGTCACAGCTGGAATGGGAAGAATGTGCTGGGAAGGGAAAAAGGGCCTGCAAAGTGCAGCCCCAGCCCACGGAGAAGGAGGAAGATGCTTTATTCAGGGCTCCGTGGAGAAGCCACGGAGGGATTATGCTCTTCTCCAATGACACGGTGTCCTGTTGCAGCATCCAGCTCGAGCAGGAGGAGGGAGGGAGGGCGGGTAAGTGCAGGCAGGCTGGAGCCTGGGCCCTGCTGGAGCTGGGGGCTGTCCAAGGGAAGGAGTTGTGCACGTACAGGAAGCCCAGTTGCAGGATCTCCCGGCTGAGTCGAGTCTGGCTCAGTCCCAGCACTGCAATGGCTCAAGGCCTTCAGGTTTAGCTTCACCAGGGACTGTAGAACTGAGCCTGTTCCCCCCCTGGTGTCAGTGCAGTTGAAATCTGTGGGGACCAGCTGTGTGGGGAAAGCAAACTGCCCCAGCTGTGTGTGTGTCCTCCTGCTATAGAGTCCCAGAGCCCAGTACCAGCGTGAAGCTGGTAGGCTCCCCTGGGCAGGGATCAGCCTGTGTAACTCCACACAAATGAGGAACCAGGCCTGGACCCCAGGTGTGAGCTGATGGAAGTGTCCCTGGGTTGGGAGCCCACCTGTCTTGGGGAATAGCACTCACTGCAAGGCAGCAGGAGTGGGCCTGGCACCCTCTGCCACAAGGAGAGGCCAAACCACTGCTCCAGGCTTCTCTCCATCTCAGGTAATGGCACAAGGAAACTAAATCTGGAAAGAAAACCTCTTCCCAGCCAGGGAAGGTTATAACAGGTGAGAGGCAGCTCCTTCTTGCAGAGCTTGGGATGAGGAGCTGTTACGGTGTTTGCAGCCCTGTCCCTCTTGCTGGGAGGGGTCTCTTCTCCTCAGCAGCAAGGAGGCATTGGGGATCAGCCCACATTCCTGCAGGCTCCTGGAGTTGTCTGTGTACAGCCTCTGGGGAAAGGTGCTGATGATCTCATACGAGTCGGAGTCTCCACCCCTAGGAAAGAACAGCACAATCTTTCCTACTCACAGGGTCCCCCAAGGTTTTGCTGAGATGCTCTGGCTGATCCAGCTGTGGTTATGCAAGAGCAGAAAAAAGGGCTCCCAGCCCTCTGTAGCCAGCCAGGCACGGAGCAGCTGTTCCAGCTGCACAGCTGCAGGGGGAAGGAGGCTCGTGCATCCCGACAGCACTGAGCTCATCCTGGGCTCAGACCAAGGCCAGGGCCCTGGCTTGCAACAGCAGTGGGAAGAGGGGAGGGCAAAAGGGGCCCTCAGCCATCTGGAACTGTTCCTGAAGGGCTCAGTGAGCCCTCGGGCAGCGTTAAAAGGGTTGGGATATTGAGATGGCAGAGCAAAGAAGGTGTTGATCCAGCAGCTTGGCTTCCAGGCTGCACCAGCACCTTGGGAATGGTGGCACTAGTCATGGGAGTGCTGCTGAGCAAAGGCGGTGATGACCTGGGTCTGATGGCAATTTTGGGAGGGCAGAAGAGGTTTATCTCTGCTGCTGCATGGCAAAGGTGGGTATGAAACACTCTGAGCTATGTGGGACCCCAGCAGTGCTGCCTGGAGAGCATCTAGTGAGGGAGCTAAAGGGGCAGAGGGCTGAGCTGTGACCCAGCTCAGGCTGATGTTTGAAGATCCAGGGCCTTCAGCAGCCACCAGGGGCCCTTCCCTGGGGCCCTACAGAGCCAGGCAAGGACAGGAGGAGGTGCTGTGCACACCTGATGCGGGCGAGGTGCTGGCGCAGGTCCCCGATGGTGTCGGTGAAGAGCATCCTCACAACGTGCGTGTGCTCCCCGCTCTCACACCTGACACGGAGAGTGCAGACTCCAGGGGCAGGAGCTTCTGCCTCTTCAGCCATCTTCACCCTGGTTAGAAAACCCTGTCAGCCAAGGAGTGAGCTCCACTCAGTGGGCAGAACCTCCAGGATGTGCTGGTGAGGTCCAAACAGGGGAGAGGGAATGTTCTAGAGATGAACGAGGCCCCACCTGATTTCAGGCAAACAAACCAACCTGCTGCCCAAACTGCTGCTTTGCTTTCCCTGCCTGAAGGTGCCTTGAAGAGGGTTGTTGACCTTTTTTAACTTTTCCATTTTAAATCAGGGCTGTCTGGTAAGTGCTTTGCCCTACTTCTCTGATTAAAAATAATCTGCTTGGGTTTTTTTTCATTAGCTATTTGGGTCTTGGCTTGCCAGAAGACTGAGTGGAAAAGTGCTGTTAGTGAGACCTCCCACTTGGGCATCAGTTTCTTGGAGGGATTCCCCCATTTAACCTGACTGCAGACAGCTTTTTCAGTGGTTTTGAACTCTTAGGCCTTGGCTTGTTGGGGAAACTATTTCAAAGAAATAAGTGACATTTTGAACAACAGAAACTTTTTGTTAGAGGTGCAGGTTTGCCATGAGAAATTCAGTGGTCTTCCCAAATGACCAAACTTGGCCTTTTTTTCTAATTGTTTCTAAGGTCTAAAAGGGGAAAGTCCATTTACTTCCTCAGCTGAACCCCCTGAAATGGGGGGGTGATGCAGTGATGAAATAGGAGGAGGAGGAGATCCTGACAGGGCAGGGGTTGGGGGCTGTACCTGTACCTCTCCAGGGTAGCCAGCCTGGGTGTCTCCACCAAGGTCTCTTTGCTGCTCTGCACCCCATCAGAGCCCTGAAACCAAACCAGGTGAGTGTCACCACTGCCCAGAGAGCAGCCGGTGCCAGGACGGCCCAGAGGCAGGTGCCAAAGTGCCACGTGTGTTCTGGTGGAGCCTCTCTGGGAGGAGGAGATCACGTGGAACTGAGGGAGGCCCAGGGAGGGGGTGCTGGTGCTGTGCAGGGTGCTGAGCCCAAGGAATCACTGCTGCCCCTCTCCTGTGGGTGGCTGGGGGTCCTCTCGTACCTGCTGTGCTGCTCCAGTTGAGCCCTGGACACCAACCACTCCTCCTCCATGTTCCAGGGGCTTGGGAAGCTCGTTGGGAAACTGCTCCAAGGAGGCTTTGGGACCTGCCAGAGCAGAGGGGAGATATGTCCATGTGTGACCTTCTTGACAGACATTTTGACCCCAGAATAGGCTGATTTGGTGAAAGGAGAGCGCGCAGCAGCCGACAGGGAGAGCTCTCACCACCCCCAGCGAGGCTGAGACTTGCTCTCGGGTTCCTCCCTTCAAGTTTGTCCCACTTTCTGGCCCACTAAATGTCTGATTGTCAACATCAACAGTGAGAACTGCACAGCCTGTTCAGCACAGCTGGGATGCACAGTGGGTAGAAACCTGGATAGCTCTGCTGTGAAAACCTGAAACTATCACCATTTTTTACAGTCTTGGACGTTTCACCTTGTATTTGTTGGTGTCTACTTCTTTTTGTTTGGAAAATTATTTTTTTTGTTACTACTTAGATAAAAGGAATATTTAGCAGAGCTTCTGTTTGGGAATAGCCTTGAGATGGATGAGCAAGCAGTTCAGCTGTAGGTAACCAGGCAGCTGTTGCTGATGGGAGATGCACATATTGGGTCATTTAGTGATGCACACCCAAACCCACTGAGACTGACTGAGTCTGACTTCCCAACCCTGACAGGTATTGCTTAGGCAGACTGTGAGAGTCTAGAAGCAAAATGAGGTATCTGTGGCCTGACCTTATGTCCCATATTCTGTTATGAAAGTCTGAAGAGAAACTGTCCCATATTCAGTACAGTTACGGTTGATGTGGCTTGAAGATATCTGCATTTATGGAATGAGGCTATAGGAGAGCAGAGTTTTTTTTTGCCAGCAAATCCCTCCCTCAGCCTTTGATGGTGGTAAAGGTGAAGGTAGAAGGAGCTTGGCCTTTTGGAAGCGTGCAGGGCAGATATGTTTTGGAAACCTGCTGAATTTCTGGTAATTTATTACTCATCACATCTCTTTCTTTAGGAGATGAATGATGAGAGGACACTGTGTGTGCTGCCTGGCTCCCAGCTCCTGAAGCAGCACCAGGCCCTGAACCACAAGTGTTGCCTTCCTTGCTGAGACAACCCCCAACACCCCTCCTTCCTGCTGCACTGCCCTGGTAAGGTTTAAAAGTTCTCCCCTTTGAAAATTAGCTGCATTTTTGAGGCAGGCTTAAGATTTTACCTGGGATCTCAGTGGTTTCCTGCACTTGGTTTGATTCTGAATGACCAACTATTTGGCCATGGCCAGGAAAACTCCTTGGAAGGTCCCTCTCCTCAAATACCACGTCCCTTCTGTCAGTGACCTGTTGAATTAAGTCCAACTGCCATAAGCAAATCTGACTGTTGCACAAGCTTCTCTTGCTGCATCAGAGCACGATAAACCA